CCGAGCCAGTCTCTGGGCGCTGGGGCCACCACCGGGCGCCACCTCTGCACGCCCCGGCCTGAGGTGCACAGCGCCCTCCACTGGGCGCTGAGGCTGGAGGGCTCCTCCCGGGCTACAACTGGTCACTTGTGTGGTCTCTGTCTGCCTCTGGCTTGACAGTTTGGCCAGGAGAAGGGGCGTGGGGTGGGTGGGCCACTGGGGGCAGGCCGTGGGACAGGGACATGGCGCTGGGGACAATGCCTTCGACAGCAGCAGGGATGCCGGTGGGGGCCACGCCCACAACGCCTGGCGGGTACCTGCTGGAGGGAGCAAGAGGCTGTGAGGTCCCTGGGGGACAGCCCAGCCCCGGTGAGCACTGCCTCCAAGTAGTGACCCTGCTGGCTCCCCAGGAACCCCGTGAGGTCATCCCACCATGGTCCTTGTCCACGGCCCCTACCTGCCCCAAAGGTCTCCTGGCCCCGTGCCGCTCACCTGTAGGCAGCCCCATTGAGCTCAGGGTGCACAGCGGCGGGGTCCATGCTGGCCCAGTGGGTGGCTGCGGTCAGGTGGTCCTTGTTCACGCAGTTTCTCAGGCTGTCTGGGATTCGGCCTGAGTGTGCGGAGGGCGAGACACCGGGTCACACCTGGAGCACCGCCCCACAGGACCCTGGGCTGTGGCCTCAGCAGCTCCCTTGCCCAGCCTGGGCTTGCTCTCCATAAGGGCTTGTCCTGTCCGCCATGGACTCAGTCTCCCCTGCAGCTTGCTGAAGGTGCAGCCGGTCAGGACTTCAGAGCAAGCACTGACACTTTCATCACACCTGGCACCCCCACCCCAGGCCTCGAGGGTGCAAGAGCCAGCACCGCAACCCCAAGCTGGCATGGACGAACAGCTGCACAGCAGGTGCCCACCTGTGATGGCTCGCCGGATCTCACGGGCGGCTTCCTCACGCATCTCGATGGATGCCTGCTCGCTGTACCACGCTGCATGCGGGGTGCAGATGAGGTTGGGTGCATCCTTCAGGGGTCCCTGGCTGAAACTGAGGACACACAGGGCAGGTGGGGCAGTGTGGTCAGTGCCTGCCCCATCCCCTGGGATCTGAGGACAGGGCGCAAGCTCCTGACAGGATGGGGCCACCACACAGCCCTCCAGCCATTGCTGTCTCCTCCAGAGGCTGAGCACCTAGCCCAGACTTCTCGCTGCCGGGATCCCTGGATGTGGGGGTAAGGCCCAGCCACCTCGAGCACAAGGCACACTGCCATGGTGCAGTCCAGCCATTTAACTCAGAACTGGCCAACAGCCGAGACACTGCAGGCCTCAGAGGAAGATCATCCCAAGCAAAACCGGAAGCTGGTACAGTGCCCTGCCCAACAGTGCCCTGGCCCCCAGAGACCACCATGGGCACCAGTCGTCACCTCGCCTTGCCATGGGCACAGGCTGTGGGGAGTCACTCTAGGACAGCTACTTCCTGTGTCCCAAAGGCTCCTGGAGCTGGCTCCCAGCTGCCCAAGGTGACTCCAGTGCCACCCCAAGCATGCCCTCCTGCCGTGGTGGCCCAGAGGTGTCTGTCAGAGTCAGAATGGCCTTTCCACGGCCTGCTCCTGCCTGCACAGCCTCATGCCTATGGCCCTGACCAGTGTCCCAGCCTCTCCCCAACACCAGCCACAAGTGTGAGGTTGGAGAATGCCACTGCCAGGTCACACACAGCTGGCACCTGAAGGGCTCGGACTCGTGCACGTCCAGCGCCGCGCCACGGATTCGCCCCTCCTTCAGGGCCTGGGCCAGCGCCTTCTCATCCACCAGCCCACCTCGGGCTGTGTTCACCAGAAAGGCTCCCTGTCTCATCTGCAAGGACAAGCGTCACAGGGTTAAGGGGTGCCCTTGCCTCAGGCACTGCACCACGCCACTTCCAGCGCCAAGGAAGGACTTGGGCGGCAGTGGGACCCCAGCCCCAGGTCAGCTTCCCCTCCCATTCCAAAACAGTCCAGCTCTGAGCAGTACTCCTGCCCTTCACAAGGACCTGGCCTCCCTGTACCTCGTGCCAGGATGGTAGCCAGGCACTCGGGTGCCTCCTAGAGCGTGGCCCTAGCGCAGGGCCCATGTCCAGGGGGCCTGTGGCAGTCTGCTAGTCCAGGCAGCTCACTTTCCAAGGCCTGCGGAGCCACTCCCCTTTGTCTCTTGACCCCACTTTGACCCACCCGCCACGGGGGCCCTGGGTCAGCACGCCTTTTCACAGCCAATGGCTTTCACCAGTGCCCATGTGACACAATGACTGAGACTCCACAGACAGCACCTGGCCTTCTCCTGTGGGACAAAGGGAGTGGGTGCACAGCCCCCACCAAACACATGGCTGCACACCCGTGAGCGAGGCCTACCCCACACACCTGCTTGACAGTGAAGTCGTTGATGAGGTGGTGGTTGTGCTCGTTGAGGCCGCAGTGCAGCGTGACACAGTCACTGTGGAAGAGCAGGTCCTGCAGGGTGCTCACACGCTGCAGCCCCAGTGCCCGCTCCACGCCATCCGGCAGGTATGGGTCATAGAAGAGCACGTTGAAGCCGAAGGCCTTGGCCCGCAGTGCCACTGCCTGTCCCACTCGACCTGTGGGACAGGCGGAGTGAAATGGTGTCCCCAGGCTCTGTCACCCAGGATCGGGGCACGGGAGAGCCATGACTCTGCACAAAGCACCCACTCGCGATTGAGAGCGAGGGATGGGTGGGTGAGTAGGAAGCGCCTGCTGCGGGGCATGGGATCCGCCAGGCTCCCGAGTCTGTGGGCCTCCTGTTCTCTCACACACCTGGTCCCTCCCACATCCACCCCCAGGTCAAGCATCACATGGCGTCCCACAGGACACAGACAGAGACACTCTCCATGGGCAGATGCCCTGCCTGCTGCCCCCACCACACAGGGACAGCAGAGGACGTCATCACAGGCTGCTGGTGAGATCCTGAAGGAGGTGGTCTCAGGCACTGCATGAGAACATGCCAATCTGACTGGAAGGAGAGGGGCTGAGCTAGGACTCAAGTGCCTGGTGAGCCACAGGACTTTTTAAAGGAGGTGGCCGGGGGAGGCTTTAATGGACAGAGAGGTCTGTGTGAGATTTCATGGTGACAGGAGGGACCTAGACAGCAGAAACTGCAAGAGCCAAGGACCCAGGACGCCAGGACTGAAGCTGAAGGGCCTTGACGTCGTTGCGCAGTCCAGCGAGGGGCAGATGGAGAGCAGACTGAGGAACCCAGGTCTGCGGAAAGCTGGGGGACCCTTCCCAAGCTGGCAGGAGCATTCTGCAGGGGAAGCAGACTTGCTGGGATGCTGAGGGGAAATGGTACAGGTAAAGCAGATGCCAGCTGCACGACATCTGTCACTGAATGTAGGACACAGGGTAGACGGACGGGGACAGGGCTAGATCTCCCTGGCACAGAGCCAGGACTGCAAGTGCTCTCTGGGTGGCTGGCACTTTCTGAAATCCAGGCAAGTGGACAGCACAGACACTAACCGGTCAGTCACCCACACTGCCTGCCTGAGCAGAGGGACCGGCCTAGGTAACACGAGGCCTGCAGATCACAAGAAACTATTACAAGCAAGCAGACAGGAAGATGTGGCTCTAACGAAAAGAAAACCCACAGTGCGGCAGATCGCTGATGCCCACATGATAGATTTGGAGGAAGAGAACGCCACAATAACTACTGTTGATCTGTGGTCAGAACCAAAGGCAAACGTGAAGAGACAGATGAGAAGACAGTGAGATCCAGCAGAGAAATGGCAATTCCACGAGGAGCTAGGCAGAAGGTTCTAAAACTAAAAACCACATGTGAATGAAGAATTGCTGTATAGGCCTCAGCCTAAAACAAGATCCAGCAAACTCAAAGACAGGGCCTCACAGCCAGTAGAAACCACACACACCGAAGCTGAGAGAGAAAGGGACTTTTAAAACTTTTTTTAAAGAACAAAAACAGTAAGTTAAAGAGAAAAGGGTTTTTAAAATGCAGCACACACACTAATTCACAGGGATGCGGGCAGCTGTGAATGTCAGACTGGTGATTCTACAGAAGCCACTAAAAACACCACCCAGACAAGGATGGCAAGACCCTCTCCCGAGCAAGACCAGGACAGTGGCACGTACAAGACTGCTGGAGCCAGGGCCTCACAAAAGGCAACAAGCAATAAAAGGAGGCACAGAATCTGGGAAGTAAAGATGCCTTTGTGTTTACCCACAAACAACCCAGCAACATACACAGAAGACCCAGAGAACCTACAAACTAGAATCTAGACGATGTGGTTAAAAGTCGGTCAGCTCACAGAGATCAAGTGGATCTCTAACATAAAGAATCAACTGCTGAAGTGGGATCTTGTGGCACACACCTATAATCCCAGCACAGCACTCGCAGGGGCTGAGGCAGAAAAATCTTAAATTCAAGCCCAGTCTGAGCAACTTATTGAGACCCTGTCCCAAGATAAAAAGTAATAGTACTGGGGATATAGCTCAGTGGAAAGGCCCTGGGTTCAATCCTCAGTGTAACCAAAAAACAAACAGTATTAACCACTGGAAAACAAAGATATGTATTTATAACAACATCGAAAATATCTAACACCTGTCTGGTGTTGTGGTTCAGTGGTGGGAGTTTACTTAGCAAGCGCTAGGCTCTGGGTTTGATCCCAGCACCAGGAGAAAAAAAACCAAAAACAATAAATTGAACAACCTAGAAACCTCCTCAGTTGAGAACTACAAAACACTACTAAGAAAAATGAAAACACAAAAAGAGATATCACATCTCTGCACCGGGAGAGTATATGTTGGTCAGCGGCCTTCACTTCCAAGGACCCTGACAAAACCCCAACAGACAGCAGAGGCACCCAAGACCTGTGTGGGCAGCAGGCAAGGGAGCCCATGACCCTCCTGCATGGCAAGTGGCTTTCGGCAAAAGTGCCAAGTGCCGGGCAGGACCTTGAAAGGATCAGACAGTGCCACAGGTCTCCACTCCAAACACGGGTGTGACCCTGGGCGGCCAGGTACCTGTACATAATGGTAGGCTACGAAGCTTTCAGCAGAAAAGGGCATCTTCATGACCCGGGGATGATGGGTTCGCAAGGCACCAACTTAGGAGTGAGTGAGGCTGCCCTCCCTGAAACAAGCTGCTCTCACCCAGGCTCAAGAAAAGGTCTCAGCCTCAAAGGAAAGTGTCCCTGGTACCAGCTGTGCAAGGAGCCAGGCAGTCTGACCCCAGCAGAACCAGGGAAGCAAGTGATGAGCACCTCACGGGAGGGCTCCCACGGCCACAGGGACAGGAAGCCAGGCCTCCTCGCAGTCGGAAGCTGCGGGTCTTGAGAGCACTGTGTTACCCCAGTGTTCCATTGGAAGGGAGGCTGGCAACACCAAACACTGACAAGGACACAGCTGCTGTGAGCCTGCCTGCCTGAAGATGGTCCCTGCTGGCAAGCAAGTGTCATGTGCAAACTCAGCCATGGCAGCGTCACTCACAGGGAGCTGGACACATGACCCTCACGGAGTCACATACTGAGGCCCCGCCCATTGTTAAGACCTGCTGGGCATTGCACAGACACAAGAGGACAGGAAAGAGAGGCCTGCTTCGTGGCTACACCTCAGCAGCACTGAAGAGTCCAACCTGCAGTGCTGGGGATCCAGTGTGGCTGCCACAGGCAGGTGGGGATGGGTCAACTCAGGGTTCCTAGAGTGTAGACACACAACATGCAAATGAGACACTATGTTTGAAAAAAATGAGGGAGGGAGGCATAGACAGACAAGGACAAGGCACAAGGTATGGGTTCCAAAGCCAGCACAGGAGACAGCAGCTACTGAAAGTGTCACACAGGAAGAACAACACTCAGGGACTGCAGATGCCAGCTCACATGCGACACCACAAAGCACACAGTGCCAGCCCCCACGCCACCCCAGGGTGGCCTGGACAAGATGTGTGGGGAGGCAGGCAGTGGGCACAAGGGGAGCCCTGGGCACGGGCTCTCCAGCTGTGCTCAGGGGAGATCAGGATTCAGGGATGGCCAAGAGGGGCAGTGGGGGCTGGGGCGGCCCAGGGCTGCTCTATGCTCAGGGGCTCAGGACCACAGGAGGAGGTTCTGAGCTGGCAGGACTCGGGTACTAGATGGCTGTGAAAGCAGAAAGAACTGTGCCACAGCTCAGCATCACACAGCAGGCATGGGGGGGGACTGGGCAGGGGGACTCAGGGACAGAGCCACGGGCCTCTCCAGTGTCATAGGTGAACAGTGGGCCAGCCCTCAGGAAGGTACAATACTCTTACCCCAGACCACCCAGCTAGCATAACCTGTAATCTTTTAGGACACAGCCCCGCAGCCACACTTGACCTTGCCATCCTCCAACAGAGCAGGGGAAGGGTACATGCAAGTGTCTGTGTGACACTCAGGGACACTGAGCATTGTCCCGGGCCTGCCCCTGACATGACCTAGGCCTTGTCACCTTTTCTTTCCTGACCATCTGCAGGGAACACCTGAGGACACAGGGCAGAGGGGAAGGCTGCCTGTGACAGGGTAGCAGTGTAAAAAGAGAGCCATCCACACAGAGCACCACTGTGGACAAGGGCTTCTACACGGTGGCCGTGGGGCTAGGTGGCACCAGCTTTCTCCAGAAAAGGCCATACTCGGGGTGAGGGTGGAGGGGGTCAAGGACAGAAAAGAGGCTGGGGCAAGGACAGGGGTGGGATGAGCGGAGGAAGCCCAGGCTTTCTCGTCCTCACCTGGCATCACAAGCACCCAGCCACACCAGGGACCATGCAGGTGAGCATGTGTGGGATGCCCATGTGTGGTGTCCATGGGTTCACATGTGCTGCATTTGACATCAACCATGTGGGGTATGCACATGTGACATCTGCATAAGGCACGTGCCTGGTGTCCCCATGAGCTCTGCCTCCTCTGTCCCATCTGGGCCTGGGTCAGGTCCTGTGGCCCACAAGAGCTCTGGCTCCCCCTAGTACAGACTGGGGGCAGTGGCACTAATGGGGCCGGTCTGACAGGTGAAGCCGGGGGCCAATGCACCAACGCACCTAGTCCAATGATGCCCAAGGTCTCCCCGCGGATCCTGGCAGCCCCTGAGGCCACCTCACGGATCTGCTCCACACTCTGGACGCGAGTGCCTTCTCGCAGTGCCTGGTGCAGCCAGGTGGTCCTCCGGTATAGGTTCAGGATGTGACACAGGGTTGAGTCTGCAGTCTCCTCCACGGATGCTGCAGGAACATTGCACACAGCGATGCCTGCAGGGACATGGGATGCATGTGTGGTCACCACATGCATCAGGACTGACCCCAGCACTGCAGGTGCTGGAGTGCCCTTAGTGTGATGCTAAGCCTCTGAGGCCAGCGAGTCACACGCCTATCACACGGCCTGAGGGCAGTGCAGGAATCAGCAAGCCCATGTGCACAGGATCTGATCTGCCTCCATGCCAACACACTTCAGGCCACATGTGTGCAGAGGGCCAAGGATAGACAGAGGGACGCCCAGAGGAAGCTGGCACCAAGCCCTGCTTCCTCCCATCTGACCCTTGCTGCTCACAGGCCTATGTGCCCATCACACTGGCTCTCCTTGCCCGGGCCCTCCAATTCGTACGTGTTTCTCCACCCTCAAGGGGCCCAGCACGTGAGCCCACCCCTGCCCTGGGCCTCATTCCCGGAAAGAGCCCCTCTGTCCTGCAGACCCTCCCACCAGCCACAGTCCCGGCCATTCAGCCGGCAGCCCAAGGCCCCTCACACTCCCATCCAAGCAGGGGCCCCTGCTATGCCTCCTGCTGAACGTCTGCATCACTGAGAACCATCCCAAGTGCTCAAGCATCTTCTGACCAGGAAGGACCAGGGCAGGACACCTATACCCCCCGAAATGGCTTCGTCATGAAACAGGAGACCAAGTGGGAGCCAGCCACACAGCCAGTGAGACTCTACAATCGCCACTGCGTGGGAGGGTCCTGGAACCTGGAAAGACCACACCTGACCTGACCTGGCCTGGCCTGGACGGTCCCTGGCTGGTGGGTGGAGCCTCAGCCTGTGGGATCACAGGACAGGGCAGATGGCACAGTGGGGTCTATGTCTGCTGCCCTGCCCAGGATGTCACCAGTGCAGAGGGAGCCAGCAGAACAAAACTGACTTCCAACCTAGACCTGCAGTTCCCACAGGGGAATCAACATGTTCCTGCCCTCGAAGATGCATCAAGGTGATGCATGCCAGTGGCAGGCACCATGGGCCCAACCCCATTTCATCATCTTGCCACCTGCACAGACAGAAATAAAGAGACAAAAAGACAGCCTGGCACTGCTGTAGCATGTGTGTGTGCACAGGTCACATGTGTATACATTCATGTATAAATGTGCAAATTTACGCATACAAGTGCAGGTTGGTGCACTGCCAGCATACAAGCCCTTACGCATGCATGTGTGTATTTTGTGTGCAGGTTCACATGTGTATGTGCAGGCTGACATATATGTATGCAGGTATGTGCTGTGGGCACACAAGCCCCTGAGTGTGTGTGCATGTGCGCACTAGGTTGCAACACACTGCCTTTCCCATCGCATCACCGGCACAGACTGGCGACTGCCTGGCAGGGCCCGGGCGAGGAAGGGCGGTGACATGATGCAGACCTGTGACAACACAGGTGGGAATGGAGCTTGGCCAGACCTTGTCCTGCTGGACACAGAAGACTCACAGTCCAAGCCACTGAGCAGCCACTGCCACCTCCCAGCAGCATCCATGGAAGCCGTCACCAACCGAACCCAGCAGGCCCGGTGGACTCTTGCTCTGTGATGTCAAACCAGAGGGATGGAGCCAGGCGTGGAGAGAGGCCTGCTGAGGAAATCCACAGGAGCGTTCCAAGTTCCTACCTAAGTCCCCGGCAGACTTGATGTCAATGTTGTCAAAGCCACTGCCTATTCGGACAATGATCCGAAGGGCTTTGAATTTCTCCAGGTCTTCTCTGGTCAGCGTGATTGTGTGGTACATCAGAGCACCCACAGCCTCGTTCAGCACCTGCGGGAGGGAGGAGGACTGCACTGAGGGGCACCGGCCTGCCGGGCGCTGTCCTGGCCCAGGAGTTCAGGCCTTGCATGAAGGCCTCAGCCCCCAGCCTGGACTCAGGTTCCTAGGACCAGGCAGCTGGCCACACAGCAGCCACGGTGTCCTTGCTACGGCCCCCGGCCGGCCTACAACACAGGGACCAGGAGGAGCTGTGGCAAAAGACCAGCCAGGAAGATAAGCAGACACCAGCATGGACAAGAGAGAGGACACCAGGAAGGAGACCATCGGGGTCAGGCAAGTGGGCCACAGGGCTGCGCATGTGCAGGGCCTCTGGTGGGACACTGCCCGAGAACTTTGAGACGGGAAGGTGACCTCCCCCACAGCACGTCCCTGGGCAGCCCCATGAACGCTCAGCCTTGTCCCACAAACGCCACAGCCACACCTCTCCACCTACACCCACAGTCCTGCCCACCTCCCAGCCCCAAGATCGGGTCCATGCAGGCATCCAAGGAGGCCATGTACAGGACCCCCAAGGCTCCTGGCTCTGGGGTACCCAGGGGCCCTTATGATAACACCAGCAAAGCAAGTCCTGAGCCCAGGGGTGCTGCCCCTCCTGGCCTAAGGGGCCCCTGGGCACCCAGGACACCACTGGAGCCATGGCCATCACCTCCCAAGGGCCATAGGCCCGTACCGCACTGGAGGAGATGGCAGGCATATCACCCAGGTGGACCTAGAGGGCAGAGCACCCTCAGGGGCATGGGTGGAATGAGGTCACAGGTGGCCTGGAAGGCCCCTCTGGGATGACCAGGTGATCTACGGATACCGCAGCAGGAAAGCCTGCCCAGAGCAGAAATGGGGCCCTGAAGCTGTGGACAGACTGGGCATCTGGCCTGGTCACAGGGTGGGGCCCTTCGATATGGGGTGCAGAAGCGCTGGGCTGTGGTCTCAAACGCCAGGCATGTGCATAGGGCAGCTCACTTTTTATCCTGGTTTACTGCAATGCTAGCATCTTCACTCAGGCTTTTGAGTGTGCACTGGCTCTTTGTGATCAAGATGGGTGTTCACTTTCTTCAGGTCAAGTCTTGGTAACAGACACTGTGTGTCCACTGGGGCAGCACCCTTTCCAGCCTGGGCTGCTGCACAGCTGTGGACACCAGCAGCCACTCCCAACCCAGCACAGGCGTTCTGAGGCTCTTAAGGTACAAGACGGCATCACTACGCTTCTTTACTTTCACTTCTGAGTGTAACCTACCCATCTGCGTCCCTAGCAGGGTGCTCCCATGTTCTTCTTTCCCTACATGTCTGACACTGCAGCACAATGAAGGCCTGTGACACGAATCTGAAGGCCGCCAGGGACCTCGCCGCAGCCCTGCAGGATCCTGTGCTCCCTTTATGGGGATCCACCCCATCAGGAGGCCGTGGAAGCGTGCAGGCCCAGCTCTCCGCCTCTCCATGTGCCCCACAGGGCTTTCTCGCACTCACTTGCCAGCCCTCCTGCAGTGTGGCTTCGAGCCTCTGCTGCCACATCAGCCACAGCAGCGTCAGAGAAACCTGTCACTGCAAAGCCTGGCCTGGCTGACAGAGGCCACTGGCAGCATCTGTGGTGAGCACCAGGAGCTCCCCACACCCCATCCCTCACAGGGCCCCTCAGTCTGCATTTGCTACGTGAGCTCTCACTGCCACCTCAGCACAGTGACCTTCTCCTACCCAGGGCCACATTTTCAGACCCTCTTTCCTTTTCCCCAAAGCCAGGGCCATCCATGCAGCACTCTCCTATGGCAGAACGCACGCAATTCCACAGCCCACACCCTGAAAGTCCCATCCCTTATCTCCAGGTCCACTCACCGTGGCACTAATGATGGGTCTGGGGGACTGGGTATGCCCAGGGCAGGGGAGTACCCATGACACCAACAGGAGGGCTCTGTGACAAGGACCCCGTGCCCCATGGTACCCCTCCCTGTCACTCCTGGGATCCCCGGCAACACTGCCCACTGGGACCCTGGCTCCTGGCTGGCTGTACACTAGGACCTATGCAATCCTGCTGACTCATCCTCAATGCCTCCCAACATTTGATGGATGGTGTCCAGCCCCAAGACCCCAGCTCCTGGCAATTCAGTTTGGTCATAGGTGCCACCCTGGGCTAGAAGCTGTGCCCCTGGGGCTGTGCAACACTAGGTCTGCTGCTGGCTCCTGTGTCGATGCAGAACCTCCACCTGGCAACCGGCCCCGGTATCTCCTAGGCGCTGATGCCTCCTAGGTCCAGTGAAACTTGAGATGTTCTTCATCCTGCGTTTGTGTGCGTGAGACGATGTCACGGTCTCCTTCTGCAACACTCAGCAACATCCAAGTAACTGAGACATGAGGTAGGTGCTGATTTCCCTCCCGCATGGGAGCAACAGGCCTTGACATCCCTGGCTAGTTGTCCCCAGGCTCCTGTCCCATTGCTCCACTGCTCCTAGCACACTGCTTCCCCTTCGTGGTCTAACATGGCTCCAAGACTCCAAGCCGGTGTCCAGTTTCCAGTCAAGAGAAAAAAGGGGAATCTGCAGAGCTTCCCCTGACCTCTCCCTTATGGAATTTGATCACCTGGCCACACCTAACAGTAACACGATGTAGGAAATAAAGTCCTTACTCTGGGCCACAAATCTACCAGGAAGTAGGAGACTCTACCTGGGCACAGAGTCTTTACAACTGTTTCCCTCAGGGCTCCCTCTCCTGAGATCTCCTTAGCCACCTCAGCCCTTCTGCTCCAGTTCCAACTTCTCATCTCTTCTCTGTCCCCAGGAGCCCCCGTAGCTCCTGTGTACCCCTTGGGGGTCACTGCTCTCCCGAGGACACAGTGCCTCATTCGGGCAGGGAAGGTGCAGGCTCTACCCTCATGCTGGGAACCTCAGCTTAGTGATGTGGGTTTTACTTTGATCTGTCAGAGGACATTGGTATGTCACGATTTCAATTCTCAAATTCACTGGCAAAAAATGTTATAAGTGCCGCTTATGAGTGTGAATGTTTCCTGCCTACTCCCATTTCGTTAGTTCTTCAGTTAGCTTCACACTGTCCAATTCTCCCAAATGATGGCACTGCCTATCCATCCACACTGCCGCCGCCACACCCAGACACAGCCTTGTAACAAAGCAGTCCCCGTAACTCCAGGAATAAGCCTGCCTTCCGTGGTGTGTGGTGGGCTGACTGGCATGCAGTGCCTCATGGGGGCCATGGTGTGAATGACACCTGGGTGCCTGTGCGCTGAGCTGCCATCCCTGGTGCAGCATCTGTGCATGCCAGCTCTGCCCCACACCAGTGTCTTAGTGGACAGGGATCCACCCCGGGCACTCAGGAATGGGACCTGATGTCCACCACATGCATCTGTCAGTTTCTCTGCTTCCAGCTCAGCCCTGTATCCTGAGCTCTGTCAGCTCCTCCCTCTCATGCTCTTCCCTCATCCTGCCCGCTGACCTGCAGTTAAATGTCCCCAAATATTCTTTCAGCCACAGGATTTTCCTGCTCTGCATCTCCTAGTTTTCTCCTCCAAATCTACTGTCCTGTCTCAGCATGTTCAAGGCTGGTTTCGGTCTATTGTGGCAGCAGTGGGTGCCCTATAGTTGGACAGGGTTTCTGGCGGCTAGTGCCTCTGCTGCCAGAAGGTCTGCTCACAGGGTCTGACCTCTGTGACAACCAGGCAGCTGACAGCACAGCACAGATACCACACCTAGAAATGACCTAAAACAACATCCTGAGGCCCGAGGGCATGGCCAGCAGCAAGCTGGGTCGAGATCTGGCACAGCTGGTCACAGCCCGGGCTGACCATGCCAGATGTGTTCAGGTCCACGTATTTGACCTTGGTCCATGGATGCTGTCTCTGCTTGGACCATGGACGCACCCACAGACCCTGGTGCCGCCAAAACCTGAGCCCAGCCACAGCCTCACCAGGGCCACGGCCCTCCACACTGCCAGTCCTGGGCCCTTCCAGGGGTGGACTGACCCCACTTACTAGCTCTGGGAGTCTCTCAGGCTCACTGGAAAGGAATTTATGGCTCTGTTGCTGTCTACAGTGGAAAGACTATTCAAAGTCACTGTGCCGTCACGACCCGGCTCATGTGGCCCAGGACCCCATGGCTCTGAGTAAGCATGAGTCGTGGCAGCTGCCCCAGTGCTGCCCGCCACACACCCGCACCTGAGGAGAAGACGTGACATGTTGGGTGGACTCGGAGGCAGCGAGTCTGCTTCCAGCACAAACATGGCACCCAGCAACGGCCGCCAGCAGCCAGGCTCCACTGTCAGCAGCAAACTGGTTATGACGGAAATGGAGCAGGGTACCAGGGTTATCCCTGTCTGCACCTCCCAATAGCTCTGAGCACAATGATGGGGCCACTCAGGCTCAGGAGTCCAGGGTGTGCACAGGCTCCTGCGGCATGAAAGACCCCTACCTTCTCGTGGATCTCCTGTGTGGACTGCGCATCACAGAAGGCCACCGTGGCCACGTCCTTCAGGATGGGCATCTCCACCGTGCAGTCCCGACCATCGAGTAGAGCCACCAGGGGCCGCGGGTGCAGGGGCCCATTCATGATCGGAGGTCGGACACCTGCAAGACAGAAAGGGGCCCTCAATTCAAGCCTGCTCTCTGCAGCCCCAGCCACCCAGTGCTGCCTGAGCTTCCTGTGCTCAGGATCCTTGTAAAAAGGAAACGAAGAGTCAGAGAGAAAGACAGACTGGTGTTTGACACAACTCACTGCCACCTGAGTGGACTCAGCCTGTCAGGGCCTCAGAGTCCCTGGCTGGGTTGTAGCACCAGCACAGGGCTATGTAAACCCCTTGATGACTCCAGAAAAAGGCCCCACAGCTGCTTCCCTGCCTGAAGCTGCTGTGTAGTTGCCCAGAAGGTCACAGGGACAGGATGCCGCCCCCCGCACCTCACTTCCACATGTGGGTGCCGAAGGTTAAGAAACTGTAAAGGAAGAAAATGCCAAAATACACTAAGGACCGTCCCCCACTACCACAAGAATTTTTAGGCCTAGGGAATAGCTCTGCAGTAGAACTCTTGCTTAACTTGCACGTGTGAGGCCTGGGGTTTCACTGCCAATGCTGCAGAGGGTGCAAAAGTTAGGTTGAATGTTGTAGTTCACGCTTTTGATCCCAGCACTCTGGCAGGCTGAGGGAGGAGGATCCAAGCCTCAGACCAGCTAGACAACTTAGCAATTTAGTCAAGACCCTGTCTTAAGACGCAAGGAAAATATATAAATAAAAAGGGTTGAGGGTTGGAGATTTAGCTCAGTGGCACTACAACTGCCTCACAAGCACAAGGTCCTGAGTTTGATCCCCTGTACCAAAAAAAAAAAAAAAAAAAAGT